AAGCGACTCCTTTGCCGGTGAGGCCCTTTGGGGGGGGGGAAGAGGAGGGGGGGGGGGGGGGGGTGGATGTGAAGGACACCGGGGTGGGTGGAGTCCCCCCGCTGCCCGCCACGTTCTCCGAGACCAAACCCCGCCCTCATTACGCGCCATACCACCTCCCCCCTCTCCTTCCCGGACGTCCACAGCGTCGCATCTCCTTCTTTTCGCATCTTGCATGTATCTAGTCCGCGCGGCCTTCCCCTCTTTCAACCCTGCCCCCCGCATACTCATGCATGTATGTATACGCCTCATACTAGGGTTTGGCACTGCTGGTAACGCGCGACCATTGCCCCCGGGAGATCCCGGGATCGATACCCATTTGGGTCAAAAATCCTTCCGATGGTGGAAGGTATTGGGCCCCTAGTTGATGGACGGTGGTGACCTGGGATAAAGTTAACCTGCGAGCCGACCAGGAATGGAGTTGGGCCGCTGTCGACCCGGCAGATTCCGTTGGATGCTGGTGGTGGGTGCGGAACCTGAGCGATCCACTGAGAAGTTGACTAGGGTGACTGGATGAGAGTGCCCCGAAATACCGGGGAAGGCAGGGTTTCGCAGGGTAGCTGCCACGGACGAAGATATACCCCCCTGTTTCACACATCATACATACATACATACATACATACCCTGCAGTGGACTTCGAGTTCGCCACGCTCGGAGGATTCGCTGGCGCCGCCACCAGCCTGCCGCCCACTATCCAGGTGGGCGGTGTTGGGTGTGTTTAGGACGGACCCCTCCCTGTTTCGAAACGGACCGCCTCTACCGCCTACATGCGGTCGTACGTCTAAATGGATGCTCGGACTCCTTGCAAGCGCAGAATGTTGACCTGCGCTAACTACTTGACTTGTCTTTACTACTTGTTTTAGATTCTATCTTTTAACCGTTTTTTGTTTTTCCTGATCCTCTAGGTGGCCTTCCAATACACCGCCCTGGTGTGTGAGAAAACACCACCACCACCACCACCACCACCACCACAGCAGCAGCAGCAGCAGCAGGGGCAGGGGCAAGGGCCTGTGGCAACGGCAGCCAACAGCGCCGCAGATGGCGCCTCCAGCGCCGGCGCGGCAGTAGCCGGCACCACCACCACCACCGCCTCTGCAGCCGGCGGCGATGGCCGGCGGTACTGGCTGCAGCGGCGGCTGCGTGTTGCCACATACCGGGTACGTCCTGTGCTCACTGATATCTGGGGCCGGCTGGGGGCGGGGGAGAAGGGGGGAAAGAGGGCGAAATGGGACACGTCGGTTCCACGCGTGCGTGTGTACGTGCTTATGTATGTGTGCGCGCGTTCGCGAATGTTTTCATTCGCTCCCTCTCCCTCCCCACTCCTCCCTCCTCCCCCCACCCGCAGGTCAACGTGGCGGCCACAGTCGCTGACGTGTACGCTCACGCCAATCCGGACGCGGTGGTGACGCTGCTGATGCACAAGGTCCTGCGCGTGGCGGAGGCGCAGGTAGGGGGGAAATGGGGGTTTGGAGGGGGTTGTGTGTGTTGGGGAGGTCCGGGATGGAACCGCCACCGGCAGCAAGGGAGGGGAGATGTCTGCTGCCTCATTCTCGTCTCAGGTTCCAAGTCCAGGTCCTTTATTTCCATTGGTGCTGTCATTCCCCCCTCCAGCCCTCCAGCCCTCTATCCTTTCTTACTTCCATACGTCGCTCTCATCGTCAGATCAGGTCATGGAACCATGTTGCTGCACCGCCGTGTACACGTCGGTCCGTTCTTTTCTCCTTTTCCGTTTTCCGTTTTTCCGTTTCCTGTTTTCCTCCATGAACGGAAGCGACCTGCCCGGGGCCGCCTGCCCGGGGTCTTCCCCCTCAGGGCTTTCAGGAGGCGCGGCTGCTGCTCCGGGACTGGCTGGTGGTGCTGGCGCTGTGCTACCACAGGTCCGTGCGGGTTTCGGCGTGCACGGCACTGACGTACTGTACGACTATACTCCCGTGTACCTACCCACCTACCTACCATCCTTCGGTAGCAGTGGTGATTTGGACGTCGTCGGCAGTTTTGTTTGCCCCACGTTATCCTTCTTTTCCTGTCTGTTTGTCTTGTCGTTTTGTCTGTTTATCTGGTCTTGAAAGGCGTTTCCGAACGTACGCCCAATCCCGGTCCGACGCCTGTGCCTTCCGCCTTCCCGTACGACCCTCTTGCCCCTCCCATTCTCCCCCATGTCCGCCCACCTCACCCCACCCCACCCCACCCCACCCCACCTCACCTCACCTCCAAACCCCAGGAACGTGCACTCGAGTCTGACTCTGCAGCAGCTGGCGACTGTCCCGGTGGGTGGCTGGTAGTGGCTGGCTGGCTGTGAAGAGGTAGTGGGAGGTAGTGGGTTCCCCTGCTCTAGAGTCGACTTATTCCAAGCCGGATGTTTACGAAAATCAACGTCCATTAGGATTTCACCGCTTGTTAGACTCTCCTCTCCCTCTCCTTTCTCTCATCACATCATTACCCTCCTCCCACCACCACCACCAGCAGCTGGAACCCGCATTGCATACCTGCCTTCATATGTAGAACCCCACCCCCTCTCCCGCTTTTCCCCCCCTGCGCCCCTGCCCCCCCCTTGCGCCCCTTGCTCCCCTCCCACCCTCAGGTGGACCTGCACTTCAGCCAGGCGCCCCACCTGGCCCCCCTGCCCCGCCTGGTGTACGCCCTGCTCCGCTCCCCCCTGCTGGCGCCCTTCGCGGACGGCCAGCACCCCGACCTCACCGCCTTCCTGCGCCACCTCTGGAGCGGACTGCCGCCAGCGGAGCTGGTGAGGGCGGTGTACCCCGTCATGCAGTCGTACACCACGCCGGACCAGCTGGCTTACCCTCGCCACTCTCTGAGCCGGGCTGCTCTGGCGGGTCCGGATGCGCCTCCAATCTTCCTGCTGGACGCCTACATACTCATCATGGTGCGTGTCTGCTGCTCTGCTGTCTGTCCGTTTGCCCGTTTACCTGTTCCTTTGTTTCCATGCTTGCATGTTTGCATGTATGTTTAGAGGTGCCTTCGTAGTTTGTACTTGGGTGTATTGTGCTAGCCGTGAATACGCCTGGGGGCCAGAGTGTTTGTGTTTCCATCTTGTACTTGTTCCCGGCCTTGTTCCCGGCCTTGTCCCGGCCTCCAAGGGCACACTCTCTGTCGCTGTGTTGGTCCGTTAAATGTCGGAGGGCAGCTGTTCCTTTTAGCCTTTTGCATCGTCGTGTAATTTCTTCCCCTTCCTTCACCCGGCGTTCTCTCCTCCCACTCCCACTCCCCCTTCCTCTTCCTCTTCCTCTCTTCCCCCGCTGCCAGGTGTACTACACCTCCCGCTGCCCCCCCGAGGTGCCCTTCCCGCCGCCGCAACAGTCTGCACTGAGAAAGGCGGTGGCGGCCATTCGCAGCGAGAGACGAATCACACCCCAGGTGACAAGGGGAGGGGGGAGGAAAGGGAGAGGGAGGAGGGGGAAAGGAGGGTGGGGGGAGGGGGACGCAGGCCGGGATAGCATCTGGGTGCTGGTGGTCACCATGATGGAGCGAAGGGCCTGAAGGGACCTTCGGCTTGCCTTGGTGCGTGCTCCGGTTGCTGCACCCGTTGCTGCTGCTGCTGCTGCGAATGGTAATGGTAATGGTGACTATGTAAATGATATAATGGATGGTACAACATGTTCCCATGAGAGTGATGACAGGACACGCCTTGTATTATGACCTCCGATTGCCATACATGTAACGCGCAGGTCAAGATACTGCGCGAGGGCGGTGAGGATTCGGAGCTGTTTGATCAGCTCCTCCTGGATGAGCCAGACGGCCACGACGCCAACACCTCCAACACTACCGCTGCTGGAGGCGAAAGCGGTACGGCGGCCAACGGTGGTGGTGGTGGTGGTGGCGGTTTTGGTTTGGTCCAATTCCTGGAGCACGTGTCCGCGGAGTCTGCACTGCAGCTGCAACACGAGACGCAGCAGCAGGGGGGGGGGCCTGGGCAGCCGCGTTAAAACGCGGGACAGCTGCGTACCTCTTATTTTGGTATTTAAAGTGAAATTCCGCAGGCTCGTTGGTCGTTGGTTGTTGACAACTGAAATAATGATCCATGGGTCCCGTATGAAATGATCCCCAGGCAGCTGCGGTACGATAGGATAGCTGCGTGTTTTTTGACACGCGCGCAGATGACTGCCTCTTAAGGAGGTTAGCGACGCAGACGTGATTCATCACATGACCATGAGAGGGACCCAATATGTGGGGAAGGGGGAAGGGGAAGTGTCGACCTCCCTCCCTCCTGGCGGTCACCTCCCGCTGGGGTAGGTGTGTCGCGGGGCAGGGTGAGGTGGGGTGGGGTACTACCGATGTTCTCATCGCTGCCGTCGCAGGTGCTTTTGTTTTCCTTGCGTTTCCTTGCGATTGCTGTTTCGAGTGGCTTCGTAGTGGTGTTGGTGGTGGCAGTTGTGTTGCTTGGATTGTGACAGCAGTAACCGGTACGGTAACAATATAGCTGACGACTTACGCGAAACGGTAGGCGGCCTAGTCCTTGAACTGACTGCGTGAAGGAAGGGGGCCGGAGGGGCTGGAGAGTGTCCCAGCTGGCATGCTGGAAGTTGGAAGCCCTCTTGAGGGATTAGAGGGGTTGTGGAGCACCTCAAGTTAAGAGATGTGGGATGCATGACAATATAAGCGCTGTAAACATGCGCGATAGGTTTCACGCCTTTATTAGCAAACAGCACTCTAACAACGCGGGGCTTGATGTGTAGCTCACGCGCAGCAAGCGCAAATTCGCTTTATGAATAGGTTTGTTTATCCATGAGACACACGCCGCAATAAATAACGCTGCTGTTTTGAGTCGGCTGGAGGCCCGGGCCCAAAGGCTCAACGCAGCATAGTTGCCCGGGTATTATGGGCTTACTCAGCTGCTACTTCTTTCGAATATTTCTCCGATCTTATTCAGCGCTTGTCTCATGGTTCCGTGATTCTGGTTAGTCGCTCGTCAAAAACGGTCCACAACGGTGCTGTTGATCAGTTGGCGTCGGCTTTTGTGTGGGATATCGCCTTGGGATAGGCTTATCCACATCTGTAGTAGAATATGTCGACATCACAGAATCTCGCTCCAAATGACTGGTTTGAGCATCCGGAATTGCTGCCGCCGCGCCCGCTGGGCCTCACGGAAACTAAGTACATACGTCGTTTCGCAATCGACCTTCACGGGGCTAAATGTCATGATCAGTACGTTTTCCTAGCTCCAAACGGTCTGGCAGTCATCGGCCTAGCGCCATCTCACCCGCTAGTTGCAGCCCATCGCTGCGAGACGGGCTACCAGCCAACGCACCTTCGCTACATCCCACCAAACCTAGACCATCTGAAAGCAGAAGAACTTGTTGCAGCCGCTCCGGACGACGACGGCCAGGAGGATGCGGAGGCAGGCGCCTCCAGCCGCCTTGGCGGCGAGCCCGGTGCATCCGGCGCGGGGCCTGGGTCATCGGCAGCAGCAGACCGGGATGGACCAGAGGACAGTGAAGCCCTGGAGGGGCCAGGCCGAAGCGATGGCGGAGGCGGACCAGCAGCGGCAGCAGCAAACACACCCGGGGGCGGCCGGGGACCCCTCGAAAGACCCGACCGGCCGCCCGTGCCAGAATACCCGTGAGTCCGTTTCCCCCTCACTTCCCCCCCCCCCCGCCAATCTCCGTCGCCGGTCCTTTTCCCCTTCCACACGACCCCCCACACCCTCATCCGTATGCACCACGAGCATGTACCCGCACGATCTCTTCCCCGCCTCTTCCCCCTCCCCCCTGGCCCTTTTAGGCCCTTCCCCGCTTCGCAATGCGCCCGCGTTAACTTCGAGGCAGGAGCTGCTCGACAGCAGATTGGCACCAAGACCTCGGGCAAGAAGCGGCATCGGGGGGTACAGAACCTCCGGGGCGGTGCCCTTCTGGCGGCAGTGGAGCGACGGGGAGGCGGGGCCAGGTGAGGGAGCGGGCGGGATGGGGCGGGGTGTGGGTTGGGAGAGAAAGGAGGAGGTGGGAAAGAGAGGAGGAGAGGAGCTTGCGGAGGCTGAGGGCGCCGAGGAAATGTGGTAGCGGAGTAAAGCTGAACCGTGGCCCTGTGTGAACCCCCGTGAACTGGCGTGAGGTGGAGCGAAAAGGCCCAGGGTTTCTCGCAAGCAACAGTTTAGGGGAGGGAAAAAGGGGGGGAGGGGAAATGACCGTCATCAAGCCGCCAGGGCAAAAGCAAGCAGGTGGAAGGGGATTGATTGCGGCCCTCGCAACCCAACGCATATCCCATCTAACCTCACAGACCGGGAAACATACGTCGCACAAGTTGCGGGCGGCTAAGGAGGGTGGGCCTAAGGAGGATTCCTTATGCCAGCTGAGGAAAGGGTTTCGCCCCCTAAGCCGCACGAACCAACGACCCGCCGAGCCGCTCTCACGGCCTCCATGGCACCAGTTGGGCGGGGGACCTGGCGGGACCTCGGCCACGTGTTGTTTGTTTGCTTGCCTCCCATTCCCAGATCCTCCCCCCTCCCCTCCCCTCCCCGGTCAGTTCTACTCCTGGTACACTCTTGCCCTGGCAGCAGCTTCACTCGTTCACGTGGTTCGTCGTTCCCCTCCCTCCCTCCCCGCCCCTCTTTGGGCGTCAGCAATTGACCGTTTCCTTCTGCATATATATAGTGAACCTCAATCTCCCCTTTTCTCAACCTCCCTCCAACCCCCGGGCTCGGGGGGGGGCCGTTGATTGCAGCTTTCCTATTTGGTTCGTCTTGAACAGCCAACTTCTGGAGGTGAACGAACGCCTGCTTAAAACGCCAGGCCTATTGTACGACAGGTATGTACGGCATCCACGTCATGCGGCTCTTGATGGGGTTAAGAGGGTGGGCAGAGTGTCCCGGGCGGTCGGGTTATAGAGATATGTACGGCAACGGTACAACAACAATCAACGACAATAACAACAATGGCTATGGCGCCTTTCTTGTAGACTTTGCATGGCCCTTGTTCCCGCCTAGTTACCTCCGTCCCCTCTCCTAGCCCTCCTAGCCTACTACCGTACGCCCTTATCGCAACCCTGAAGCCATCGGCAGTGTTTTTGGTAGTACAGCAGCATGTTGGTTGGCCATAACCTCGTTGTTCCGCCTGTTTTCTCTTCGTGAGCCCCAACACTTCCTCACAACAACCCCGCCCGCACCCCTTACGCTGGGCTTAAATTCAAGCCCCGCCGTGCTCCGCCGCCATAATGGCCGGGGGCTCGTCGTACGCTGTGTTGATCATGGGTATGGAATTATCCTCGGTCCGTGTACCGCAGGCCTTGTCGGGAGGGCTACGTCGCCATCCTGTCGCCCACTGCGGACGCACTCAAGTACTTTGAGAGCCGCTTGGTTTCGGAGGCGGAGTATCTCCGTCTCCGGGGCCTTACGGCGGAAGACCTCCTGTGACCTCCGGGGAACGGGGGAAGCGCGCGGCTGCTGCTGGTCTGCAACCGCCGCTACTGCTACTGCTAGGGTTGCCACTGCTGGTGCAGCCGCTGCTGCTGCTACTGCTGCTACTCGGCTGCATGACGGCGGCGGTCGGGAGGGTCGGGGGGAGGGTGGAAGAGGAAGAGGGGAGTAGGTGGGGGGACCGTTAGGAATGCTGAGGAGTCTTGGGCGGGCGGGCGGGCGGGGAAGAGCCGATGGAAGATTCCTCTTGACGTCTTGCATGTAATGGCTTGGCGTGTGCTCGAGAATGGGACTGTGTGGGGGTAGAGAGAGAGTGTGTGTGCGTACGTTTTGACGTCGTCCGTGTGCACCTACTGGCCAATGAGGTGGAAGGGGGGGTGAGGACTGAAGAGGACGGGCGTGCGTGTTCCCCTTCCCCCTTTCCCTACTTGCAGCTCTGCTCTTCCCCACCTCCACCTTTTCATGTGCGTGCGTGTTTTCATGATAAATAAATGACCGCACAAGCGGTTAAGGAAAAGACTGGGAACCCGAGCAAGGTTTCGGAGCCGGGTTTGAAAATGCATCAGCGACAGCAACATCAACAGCAGACCAGCCGCAATGCTTTTATCGACGGTGGATTTGGGAGGTAGCACCTCTCACCATATTAACTAATTCCTTTTGTTGATGTAATCAGGTTTTAGAAAAGAAGAAGAGGGGAAGAAAACGCAGATTGGGAGCTGCTCGCTTGTCCACTCACTCGCTTCCTAAATGGTGACGCGATCCTCCTCCTCCTCCTCCTCCTCCTCCTCCTCGCAAAATGCATATGCGCACGTCATTATAACACATAAGCAAAGCCTGGTGGGTCTTCCCCCTCTCCGTCCCCCTCCCACTTGCTCCGCACCTGCACCGTTGTTTGTTGTTGTAGGGTGTTTCCAGGCGGGGGGGGGAGCGGATGGATTCGCAAATTGACACGGGTACAGCACAGGCTTCAAGGAAACAGATCGCGCAAGAGCCCAAGTAAAGAGAGCCCCTCCTCCCAGGAGCCCTCCCTGGGCTGTTCCCCCTTTTTCCCCCTAAAACAACAACAGCTGGATACCCTAAGCATACAACAAAGAGCAGTAAATAGTCATATGAGCAACACAAAGCGCAAAAAGGAACACCTAACAAACCTAAAGTGTGACTAACGTGATTAATAAAATACAAGATGGAAGGAAGAAGAACGATAAATGAAACACATTCGACACACATTAAAAAAGGTATGGTCCCCCAGGCATTCATTCCACTCGCCTGCCTTCCTCATCCTCACAGCATCAGAAATCCCTTCTTAACATAATAATAGCAAACTCCTGCAAAAGCCGTTCATTACACACAACGTTCTTTCGACATGCATCAGCTTGACGACAGAACACCACCGCTGCCGAGATGTCGAAAAGAAGCCGAAACGAAAATCCAAACCACACAGGGCCTGTCTATGCCTGTCTATCGTACGACCATTCGGTGAGCACTCAACGCACGACATACATACATACAACGTTCAAATCCGCCTGCCGACTCCTCGGGTGTTCGAGGAGTGTTGAATTGGGAGATGGCCCCCCATCTTGTGGACGGTGTAGGACGTTATTATATCAACTTGCGAGCTGACCAGGAACTAAGTTGAGGCGCCGTTGATCCGCTAGATTTGGTTGGATGCTGGTGGTGAGTTGCTGAACCCAACGAATACATTCTGAAGTCGGATGGGGTGAATGGATTAGGGTGCCCCTCTAGCAGGGGAGAGCAGGGAACTGCCTCGGGAAAGGGGGCCGCTGGTGAAGCTTAACCACCCTGTAACAACAGACATACTTACCAAATGCATTACCTCCTGCATGTGCTCTATTTCAGGGATGTTCCACCCACCCCCCGAAACCCACCATCACCCCCCCGGGGTTCCCTATCCGCGCCGTAGACCCGCAGCAGCCGCAATACCCCTCCCCTCTTCAGGCATCCCCCCCACCCACCCACCCCACATTCTCCCCGCCACCACCGCCACCACCCTTGCCGTCACCGCCACAACCGCCCTCCTTGACAGAAGGTGCCGGCAAACGCAGCCGTACAGGCCTACTATCGCCACCGCCCCCTCCAACCGCTACTACTGTTGCTGTTGCTGCTGCTGCTGCTGCGGATGAAACCAGCGGACTAGTTAAAGAGCTGGACGCCGCCTCCGTTGACCCCCTCGTCGGACTTGTGGGTGCGCTGCTGCTGCTGCTGCTGCAGCCGTTATGGTTGTTGATATTGCTGCTAGTGCTGGGGCTAGGGCTGGGCCCCCCACCCAGACCTGGCCCCGTGGCGCTGAGGATGCCCATGTTCCGGAAGCTCCGGCTCACGTTGAGGGCCATAGTCTTCAGAGAGGAGCGCCGTCTGGCCGGGAAGCAGAAAGAGGACGGAAGAGATGTCGGTGGGGGAGTGCTTGAGGGCGGAAGGGAGGGAGTGCATGAGGGCGGAGGGGGACGTCCAAAGGAGGGGGAAATGCGCACACACCGCAGCCACAGGGATGGGATCGGGTTCCAGTCGGGAGCGCAGTCGCCAAGTCGCGAAGGAGCCGCGTCCCCCACCCTCATCCTCGACAAGAGGAGGGGGAGGGGTGAGGGGGAGGGGGAGGGATGGCAGGGGTGAGGGGGAGGGGCACCCTGGCGGGAACAACGGGAGGGCAATGATCCGCGCGCTTGCGGTACCCAGCGGGGTTTGGGCGGGTGAGGGAAGGAAGGAAAAGAGGGAGGGGGGCCATTTAAATGCAGTCTGCGGGAACTGAGGAAATGCCTGGATGAGTGAGTCAAGTGATGACACCCAGTCCTGACGACTCGCATCCTGCCCGCCGTACTGCCCGCCGTACTGCCCGTTGCGGCACCCCTCCCTTACTTTATTGAGTTGTAGTGTATGGGGGCTATGTACGTCAGGAATATCTCCCTGTCTAGCTTCCTGCACTCCGGCTCGTAGGTGAGGTACCAGTGGTCCTCCTCACTGGTCACCACGTGCACCGTCAGACCGAACGAGTCACACACAGCGCGCTGAGGCCGGGAGGGGGGGAGAAAAGAGAGGCAGGCAACGCGCAGGCATTACGAAGGCCACACATACATACATACATACATACATACATACATACATACATACATACATACATACATACATACATACATACATACATACATACATACATACATACATACATACATACATACATACATACATACATACATACATACATACATACATACATACATACATACATACAATCTCCCCTGGACTAGCCCAGGGAGGGAGAGGCGGAGGAGGGTAGTAGTCTCAGGAGGCTGTTTGGCGTCTTGTGGTGTGAGCTCTTTGCGCTCTTTTTTGCGTGAGGATTTTTGAGCTTGGTGACCTCCCCAGCCCGGGATGACTCATCGGGCTCCCGGTCGCCCAGGTCCTGGTTGCGAGCTCTCTGAGATGCTCGGTTCGTTCGGTCGGCAGGAAGAGCCCCCCAGTTGCGACTTCGTTTATGTTAGGAGACCAGCGGGCATAGATCCCGTCTAGTTGGAGCGCCAAACGAGCGCTGTTGCGTGCCAGCCGTCGTTTCCCGTGCGGCCTGACCCGGGGGCGGAGTGCATGAGACTAACCAGCCGTATGCACCCGCCCCCCGCGCTGTGTTTCGGCCCTGGGCCCCCGGCTTTTCAGCCCACAGTGTAATCAACGTCATACATACATACATACATACATACATACATACATACATACATACATACATACATACATACATACATACATACATACATACATACATACATACACAGAAACACACGTCTGCGGTGTGCGCCGGTCCTAACTTCGGTGAGACAAGGAAGGAATAGGAAGTAGAGGAAGGAAGAAAGGGGGCATCAGGGTAGGGAGTATATGGGCTCATGGGCTGCAATGAGAGGTAAGGGGTGTGTTGCAGTTATGTATATATTCAAGATTTTTACCACAGCCTATTCGTTCGGAGATGTTTACCTGATAAAGGTAAGGATGGTAGTGGGGGAGAAGGTGGTGGAACACCATCAACCAACACCGCACCACACTGGCGGGCACGGCGTGTGGCATCTCTTTCTCCTCCCCCACCAACCCGAACCCCAGATGATGACGGTAGGTTACCTCCCAGGGGCCCTGAAAGCGCTTACCTCCTCCTCTTTTCCCCCTTAAAAAACACACATACACTCTACACACGCCGGTGCGGCCGTACACTCACCAACGTCAGCTCGTCCCCCCACGTGCCGCTCCGCTCCATTTGCCGTACATACTGGTCAAAGTCTTCCCCCAGAAACGCCTTGAACGTTTCTCGTTGCTCCAAAATGTGCGACACCGCCTGACGCCGGATTGCGGTGTGATGGTCTTGGGTGCCGTACAGTTCGTTGCTGACGGAGCGAAACTGCCGGAAAGCAGGATATAAACCGTTAGTAAACTTCGTTATACGGTTGGTGGTTTTCAGCTCCAACCACCAACATTACCCCGGTTGGAGATGGGTTATTGGGGTTTTACCTCGCATTGGCGGATGGGGGCGGGTGAGGGCGGGGGTGTGGGAAATAAAACACCCCCACCGGGGGTAAAACACATGGTTAACTTCAAACGCGCGCAGTCCACAGGAGCTCCTTTGGGGGTTGGAAATGTGAACCATCCGGGTCATCATGGATTGCGTGTGATGGACTGCGATGCGACCGGCAATTTTTATGTGTAGCGAAAAGCGGGAAAACATTTGCGAGTATGCAGCGAAGGTGCCCAGTCCAGTCCAACAAGCTGCTGGGAGACGTCCGGGGAGCTGCGTCCTTCGCTCCTCATTTGCCGGAAAGCCACCCCCCGGGGGGCATCATCTCCCGTCCACGCGAATCCACGACCTCCATACCGCACCTAACCACCGCAACCAACCACCCCAACCAACCACCTAGCCAAAGCCGACAAACCAACTCGCCTGGCAATTTCCGTCCCCCTGCACGAGCAACATTTCCAAATTAAGCCTCTCCAGCCGCTCCCGTAGCCGCTGCTCGTGACTCAGGTAGCCGCGCGTGCTTCGCGTCCTTCGCTCAGCTGCCAGGAGCACCTCCAGACATTTGCGACTGTGTGTCCAGGACAGACCTGGAATGATGGTGGGTGCAAGCCATGATGGTGGTGGTGGGTGCAAGCCATGATGGCGGTGGTGGGTGCAAGCCATGATGGCGGTGGTGGGTGCAAGCCATGATGGCGGTGGTGGGTGCAAGCCATGATGGCGGTGGTGGGTGCAAGCCATGATGGCGGTGGTGGGTGCAAGCCATGATGGCGGTGGTGGGTGCAAGCCATGATGGCGGTGGTGGGTGCAAGCCATGATGGCGGTGGTGGGTGCAAGCCATGATGGCGGTGGTGGGTGCAAGCCATGATGGCGGTGGTGGGTGCAAGCCATGATGGCGGTGGTGGGTGCAAGCCATGATGGCGGTGGTGGGTGCAAGCCATGATGGCGGTGGTGGGTGCAAGCCATGATGGCGGTGGTGGGTGCAAGCCATGATGGCGGTGGTGGGTGCAAGCCATGATGGCGGTGGTGGGTGCAAGCCATGATGGCGGTGGTGGGTGCAAGCCATGATGGCGGTGGTGGGTGCAAGCCATGATGGCGGTGGTGGGTGCAAGCCATGATGGCGGTGGTGGGTGCAAGCCATGATGGCGGTGGTGGGTGCAAGCCATGATGGCGGTGGTGGGTGCAAGCCATGATGGCGGTGGTGGGTGCAAGCCATGATGGTGGTGGTGGGTGCAAGCCATGATGGTGGTGGGTGCAAGCAAGGAAGGAGAGAACAGAACGCGTGCGTATGAAGTGGTTAGAGGGTAGGGGGCGGAACGGAATAACGCCACGGGCAACCCGCATGGGGCCCATTTCTTCCTGCTGGGCTGCCGTACTGTTTCGTACTCCTTACCTTCCGGCGGCCGGACGCTCTTCACCCGCACGAAACCCCGCGTGAGCGGCGCTTGTCGTCCCTCGCACGATGTACGGCCGCCGCAGGTAGCGGCGCCGCCGCTGGCGGCGGGCAGCCAAGAGCCCCCCTTGCCGCCGCCGCCACCCCATTCCGCCGCCGCGGCCGCTGATGCCGCTCCGGCGGCTGCCGCTGCCACCGCAAACGGACCGGCGGGGGCTTCCGCTAGCTGTGCTACAGCTGCATTGGCGGTGGCTCTCTGGTTCTCCAGTTCCGAGTCTGGCATTGAGCAGGCAGCACGTCCACACCCGCCACCGCGAACTGACGGTAATGGCTCTTCACCACTACTAATACTAGTACTACTAGTACTACTTCTACAGCTGCGGCTGCCGGGGGCGGCAGCTTTAGAAGCGGGAGGGGACGGATTCGCTTGCGGTGCGTTGATGTGGGATTGTGTGACGGATGTAGAAGCGGTGGTGGAGGTGGCGGTCCTTTGCCGGGGTATCCACAAGGGCCCCTCCGCCAAGGTTTCCACACCCTCGAAGTCCAAGTTTATGATGAGCAGGTCGCGTGGCGCCACTATCGGCTCCTTCATATGGCTGAGCTGACGATGCATCTCCGCAGCGCGGCCGCGGAGGTTGGAATCCTCTGGCACCTCAGGGGGCTGGACGCCATTGCCGATCGTCACCACTTCGACGGCCTTGGCTCGAAGGCACAAGTTCATGATGGAATACTAAGCAAGCAGCCCGTGATATCTTTGAACTGAGTTGAGTTATGCTGAAGCAAGGAGCTTTGAGCTGGGTGCAGGTGGCCGTTGGCAGGGTTGTCGACGTAGAAGGCTTAATGGTCAACGGACCGGTTTTTCGCTATCCAGTCGAAAGGCGTTGTTCCACATGCGCTGATGAAGTCATATGAGACTCTTGGAGCGTTTTGCGCTACGGTTGCACAGGGCCAAGTGTCAGACTGGATGGCATGCAACCATCGGGAATCGTCAAGAGCAACTTGTGTCAGCAAATTGTTAATAAGTCAGCCCTAAATTAAGCATCCTTGCGGCATAAGATACATACCAACGTTCTATCAAATAGGCGTTGCCGGTTGAAAAAAACGGCTTGACAAAGGACGATGTACGGACCGCGCATGTCACGCACTTCAAAGCTATCTGCAACCTATTGAGTTCCACCTAATCACTAGAACAAACATGCACATGTCGCATCACATTCATATGAAACGAGATGTCGCCATCGTCCCGACGATTCCGCTGCCGGCTGGCGATGGCCACGCGGCCGACGCGCTGTTCGCGGCAATCCTGCCCTTTGCCAGCGCGGTGCTGCTGCCTATGTCCTCCATCACAAAAACTGCCTTGAATTCTCTTGGCGTCAGGGCATTTTCACAAGGTGGGTTGGCAGTTAGCGCTCCACAGCAAACCCGGCTGCCTTATTCCCAATCCAGCCACAATGCCCTCCTGCTATTCCCCGACAATAACACGCGCACGCACACATCAAGCGATGCCACCTTACCCAAAGCAAGGACATCTCCCCATCGCCTTTTGATCGCCCATACGGCATGTGTATCGTCCTGCCTTCTCTCCCTCCCTTCCCTCCTCCCTTCCCTCCTCCCTTCCCTCCTCCCTTCCCTCCATCCCAATTTCAGGAGCCCTTCCTTCGACGTCCAACGGAATGGGACGCGGAGCGGTGGGGGCGCAGACCTATGACTACCGCGCTGAGAACGCCACCGCCGCCGCCGGCAGCACTGCAGGCGATGCCACTGGCGCCACACATCACATCCTCGGCGGAAGGAGGCAAGGAGCTGCGGACAAGAGCACCGTCCCGTGGGTCCATCCATCTGGCCGCGGGCTTTCAACCATTTTTCCATTGCTCTGCGTCTGTGTTTGTGTCTGTGTCTGTGGCTCAGCTTGCTTGCTCCGTTGCTGGCCATAGCCGCCAAGCTGCTTTGTTGCATCCGTCTGGTTGCACTTCTTCTTTCGTGCCCCTCCTCCCCCCACTTCATATGTCTTGCCCACCTTGCCGGCCCCCGATTGCAGGCCTTCCCACATTGCGGGCCTTATGAGCCATGGTCACATCTTAAGTCACATCAAAGCTAGGTCACATTCATTCTTCATGGCGCCCGTGCTGCTTTCCAAGTCCTTCCTTCCTGCCGTCCCCGGCCCCAACGGGTTCGCCGCTAAATGTTGGCAGCCCCATGTTTTCCTTGTTGACGAATTTGCCCATCAGACGCGTTTTTCTTCGGCACCCCGCCTCCCTAACACAGAAGTTCTTACCAACCTCTAACACAATCCTAATCACAATCTGCCTAGTCCTGGAATTTGTCCGTCTATTCCTGGGGTTCCTGGTGTAAGGTTCACTCGTCTGTGGTTCGTCTTCCCCCTCCCCACAACCTCCTTCGCTTCTTGCACATATGATATGATTTCCCCCCTCCCCTCATCCTCCCATTTCCCCCATCCGTCAGACCTCGATGTGCTGCGTGTCATAGTTGGATCACGGCGGGGGATCTGAAGCAGCAGCTGCGGCAGCAGCAGCAGCAGCAGCAGCAGCAGCCGACAACAGCCGCACCACCACCACCAGCAAAGCAGAAGCGGCAGGGGGAAATCTCGTCGGCGGCCCTGCCGCCCCTCCTGGAGTGCTCCGGCTGCCACCGCTGCTTCCACGGCCGCTGCTACAGCCGCTGTACTGTGACAGATCAACGGCAGCGGCAGCAGCAGCGGCGTTGGTGGCCGCTGCGTTGGTGGCGGCGGCGGCGGCAACAGGGGACCGGCAGCCAGGGGACTGAGTACGGCACCTGCCAGAGCGGTGCTGTGGAGGCGGCGGCGGCGGCGGCGGCCGGTGGCAGTCGCGGCGGCAGTTGCGGCAGCGGGGCCGGAGAGGTTCATGACTCCAGGGAAGGCGGCATGTGGTTCCACAATGCGGAGTGCCGGCGGGTAGGTACATTTATACATACATACATATGGACAGAGAGATGCGGCCCTTACACGCCATCGTCTTCTGCAACAGCAACCCCTTTCCCGGTCTTTAGGAGCCGTGGGCGGTTCGGCCCGGTGGTGGTTGCTGTGACGGTTTTCGTTGTGACGGTTGTGATGGCGCAGGTGTACGGCGCGTTGCGCCAGCTGTGCCGGAGGGGAGACATTCCCTGCGGCCAACTCAGGGAACGGCCTCCGCCTGCTACCGCCGCCGCACCTGGCCGTACAGAAGTTGACATTAGCAGCAGCAGCAGCAGCAGCAACAGCAGCAGCAACAGCAGCAACAGCGGCGGCGGCGGCGGCGGCGGCGGCGACTCTGGTGGTGCCGATCCCGGCAATCTCCATCTTGCCTTGCGGTTGTACGACTGCCGTAACCTGGGCTTTGCAACCTCGTCAGGGCTTAGACGGGTCCATTCGGTTCTGCGGGAGGAGTTCGGCTACTCGCTATCCGACCTTCGGCAGTTCGATTTCGCGGCCTTGCTGACCGAGGTGAGAGCGCTGGCTGGCGGCGTGAGGGTGGGAAGAAATATGGGGGAAGAATCGCATCATGTGATGACACATAAATCAACAGCTGAGGTTTCAAGTGTGACAAGGGAGAGGAACGGAATATGTGGCGTGTGTGTGTCACTTCTCTCTATGTGAGGGGTCGTGTGTGAATGTGTGTGCTTGTGTGTGTGTGTGTGTGAATGTGTGTGTGTGTGTGTTTGTGTGTGTTTTCGGATGTGCGCAGGGAACCCCTGCGGTGTCGGCCGCCATCGTGGACGTGTACGGCGCTGATGCAGCGGAGCTCTACCTAGTTGCAACGCGTACGGTGCTTCAGCGGCAGGGATATGGCACCTCCCTCGTACGACAACTTAGTGCAGAGCTGGGAAAAATTGGTGAGTGGAGGGGGAAAGGGGCGCATGGCTAGAGGCTTGAGGGACGGGCTCAGCACCAGCTAACAAACAGAGGCTGCTGCGCGTTCCTGGTCCGAGGGTGTTTGAGGCAAGTGGTTAAAAGTGTCGTGGTCCATGAAGGGCCTTGTGCGTGTGGGTTGGGATGTTAGATCACGCAACCTTTTGTTACGGGCGCCCAATGTGGAAAATCCCCGTCGTTCAGGGGTACGGCGACTGCTGGTGTCGGTGGATGATGACGACGAGGAGAACCAAAGGTTATGGCGCGATAAGTTTGGATTCAAATCGCTTTCAGCTTCGGAGTTGTATGAGCTAGGTTGCAGCTTTGGAACATTCAGTGCACCCGCAACTAAGGGGACGGTTTTCCTGGTGCGGAAGCTGTGCGGTGAGATGAGGGCATAGTTGCACGGAACATATAGCGTTCGCAGGGCTACGCTTCGTTAGTTATGGCGACATGTGGTATGACCTTTTTGGAAGCATAAGGTTGCCACCGCTGAGGGAAAGTACAAGACGATGGAGCAGTTGGCACTTGTTGGACAGGTATTTGGTGCACATTGTTCATTTTCATGTAAGGTGTATTGCTTCAATCCCGAGATGTTAGCTGGCTGTCGTCCATCCTTGGATGTCAGATGTACGGCGGCCACAAGTTGACGCGTAGCGTAGATGATTATAGTCGCCAGGCAATCTTGATACATTAGGAGTTACATGATTTGCACGGTAGATCCTCTAAACTTGCAGGCTTAGCTTTCATTGCCTTTAAACTTTGAAGGAACATGGCCCACAACCAGATTGCTAACCTTTTCTATGTCACCACAAAGGCGGAGTGGGACTCTCGCCTGGCTCTAGCAAAAGCTGAGGAAAAAGTTGTAAGTAAGGGGGAATACTTGTAGACCTGCTGTTTGGCCTGCTACTAAGATCTGCGCGCCCTTATTCAAATTGCCCTTTTGATACACATTCAGGTCATTGTCGACTTTTACGCCCAGGTGGGAATGCACATCCTGTATTTATGGCGCATGAAGGTTCTAGGCTCGGGATGGCTGGCCTTACTTGTGGCTCCGTATGCTCGCAGTGGTGTGGCCCTTGCAAAGTGATTTCTCCCGTCTACGAGTCTTTGGCTAGGGAGTACCCAAATATCTACTTTCTTAAGGTGGACGTCGACTCCCAAGATATGACGGTAAATACGCCAGTTAAAACCCTGTCGCGCGACCATGTTTTTTTTTGCGTGGTGCTTGCGTGCTAGCAACAGTGAACGGTGTTTGATGCACGACCCCTGGTGTTCATCGTCTCCCGGACTCGGGCCCTGTGTGCTGGGTCAGTATCGTGTCGATACATCAGAATAAGTCTACCCCGTTTGTTTCCCCGCGTCCCACTTATCCTGGGGCCTGACAGTCTGTGGCTGAGGCTCTTGGCATTACGGCAATGCCTACCTTCCAAGTCTTCGTGAATGGCGCCAAGGTTGATGAGCTTGTTGGCGCTTCTAATGAGAAGCTGAAGGCCCTCGTCAAGAAGCACGCCGGTCCGTCAACAGCGTGAAACCGCTGCCATCACATCGCGATTGTCTCCAAAACCGTCTACCCAAGTTGAGAGCGCGCCTCAAGAGTGCGTGAATTCTCAAATGGCTAAACGCAGCTGCGGACTTCCTGTGCTATGAATGCTCCCCGTCCGGCTGCATCAATAGCTGGGAGGACAAGTATGGGGCCTTGAGCGTATGAGCTTGTATTGTTCATTTTGCTGTTCATTTTGCTGTATGCTCACGCATACTACTGGATGAATTTAATACTGGTTGCAATGGCGGGTGCACAGGTCAGTGGGTGGACAGAGGGTGTGTGCTGCTTTCATGGAGGGACGTCGCGTGTCAGCCTGGTATTCCGCGTGTGCTGTTGTGAGTACTTATGCGCTAAAGATGCTGGATGCACCGAGTATCGGCACTGTGCCGCACACGTTGCTGAAACGTTTGGGATTGACCACTGTGTGCAAATCATCACTGATTTTGCACCTGTGATTGAAATTGGAGCTTGGACAAACTGTAAATTACAGGTTGAATGTTCAAATCTTGTTAGCGAGGAAGTAAACTGTTGCACCGAGTTGGTTGTTATGATGCCAGTATTCGCTTTACCTTAACGTACGTTGCTTGGTATGGGATGCCGTATGGTACGCAGTTCGCTTGGCACAGGTAATTTACATTGGACACCTAATGCTTCATGGCCGGCACAGGAGGATATTATCAGGGTGAAGTGGCAGATGTCCCCATGCTCCGAAACACATCCTCCAAAGCCTCCGCCGTTGGTGACAGCTCGAGAGAAGGGTAACACGTAGACAGCTGATCTTCCAGACGTTGGTACCTACATAGCGGGCGGCAAGAAGCAGCATGACGTCTGTAAATCCGCATTATTAATCAGGTTTTGATTTAAAAACGTTCACCCGTCCTAAGCTCGACGCCACTTATAAATTATAAAAGACGCATACAAACAGCTGTCACAGTTTTCCCGAATAGTTTTAACCCCCAGCACCACTACCGCCGTGTCACGGACCTCTCGATGAGTTGCTCGTGAATTCGCTCCCAAACTCGGAACGACAGGTTTGTGTTGCCCAGGTGCTTCTTGACGCGTGCGTACATCTTCTGGACCTTCTTATCCACCTGCACATACATATACACATACATACATACAGGTTTAGGCTTTTAAGGCGGTTTATATAGGGAAATGCTTGCAAGTTGTACTATTAATCCTAGCAGCCCTGTCTGCCATGCAAATTGGCACATGCAGCCTGAAGGGGCAGCCGGCTGGAGGCCGGAACGAGCTGCTAGCCAAGAGCCGCAGCAGCAGGAGCAAGCTCAACAGGGCCAGGCGCAGGCCACAGGCAGAAGCAGGCGGAAGCGGAACTTCTTCACCCAGGGCGACGCGGCAGGACCGCAGGCGGGGCCTGCACTGAACGCGCCGGGGGATGATGACCAAACACAGGCGCGAAACACGCTGACAGGGGTAATAGGAGCAGCGGCAGCCGCGGTGATAGCGGGCCTGCGCCCAGGCAATGGTGAACTCCTGGGCGCGTTTGCACTAGGGAGCATGGACGGGAGGGACCCGAGCACCCGAATATCAGAAGAAGCTTCAAGACGTGCGGCAGCGGTGGAAATCACAGCCTAAGAGCGTTTCAAGCGGATCAGGGACGGCAGGGCTCGTCCAGGGCGGAGGTTCAGGGAGGTTCAGGGAGGTTGGGGTCTATTAGGGGGGAAAAGACGAACCACGAGCGAGTCTATTAGGGGGAAGGAAAGGCGTCTGTGAGGCCTAACATTCCCTGCTTACATCCTTCATGGTCGTCGTGATGAGGCTCCGCATCTCCCCCGCCGAGAAGTCCGCCTGGTACGCGACCTCCCCTGGACTGACCACCTGCAGCAGCTGGTCGATCCGCTCACTCGCCTCCAGCAGCCGCCAAAGCGCCGTGTACTGCAGCTGGGCCGCCACGTAGCGCTGAACTGCCTCCTCCTGGCGGAACGAGGTTGAGGGGGGCCGGGGAAGCGGCGGACAGTAGTTGTATGCCAGTAGGTTAGGGTGGGCAAGCGAGTTCGAGTTCGGGATCGTGCGATGGATGGTCGGCCACACTCCGCAACCACAGCAGCCCATCCATGCCAACTGCTCCAGCACTTCCCTCCTTGCCTTCTACTCCGTCTAACGTTCACATCTCATACATATCCTTTCCTCCAGTTCAACTAGCAATGGGGAACTGGGTTCGCGCACTACCAGGGGGCTATATAGATATGCTAAGCCGTTCTTGTTGAGATGGAGGCGGCGCGCAATGCACCGTCTATGGGATTGCGTCCATTTGCGCCTTAGCAAGTGTATAGCACCAGATTCATACATCACTCCAACGCCGCCGGCCGCCGCACCCACAGCCCTCGCAGCTATCCATCCATAATGATGCGCGTATAGTCCAAACACGACGCCGCTCCTCCGCTTGCAGCCCCGTGCCGTACAGCCTCCCCTGCGGAATACTGCGGGACGACTGGCTGCACCGGGGCCGAGCCCGTTTCGGCTTCAAAGAAGCAGAGACCACCCTAGTTTCCTTCCCAGTCCGGGGCGAACGGCTGCGCTAATGGTTGTCTTCGGCGTGGAGATGTATCCTTGCAGTCCTTGTTGGCCACGACAGCACAAAATCAAAATTTGTAAAAAAAATCATTTCGATCCACCGATGAATAAAAATGGACAGCGGAGCCGGGGAATGAATGAAGCACATACAGCCACAAACACACATGCAGATCCGCACCTGCTTGGTCTCCGCCTGCACCATGTACGGCTCCAGCGCTGCCACATGCCGTACCAGCGGCCGTACCGCTTCCACGAAATATGCGTAGTTCTCGGCACGCAGGCGGTCACCGTGCTTGGAGTCGGCAGCCGCGATTCGCTCTAGGGAGGCGAACATAAGGCCCACCAGCTTAGCATAAATAGCATCCACCTCCTGGCGGACCTTCATCACATCATCGCAAGGGCACATGCGGGTAAGAGATTTAAATGGAATTAGAATGAAGACACACACACACATGCAGAGTCTGACGTGGGGTAGGGGTTTTAAAACAAGACGGGTTCCTAAAAACAGTCTGGCGTTTGGACAGGCCTGAAGGCATTCCACCTCCCAGCCTCTCTCCCCCCGCCCCCCCAACAACCCGGCCGACGAAACCCAACTCCAAGATAAGCACAGCCGAAGCGTCTCATTGACAATATTGCCGTACCACACGCGTACCCTTCCCCAACCCCCAACCTCCAACCCCCAACAATCCAATGGCCCCCTTAATTTTCGCGCCAGGCAACTAACATCAGTGTCGCGAGGTCTTTTCCTCAGCAGCAGCAGCAGCAGTAGCGGTAGCAAGCATCCAGATCCCCGCTACCTACCTGCCAACCCGCCGCCGTCTGTAGAAGCTGCCGCCGTCGGGAAGTCTCCTCATCTTCCACCTCGTCCTCCGCATCACTACCGCTACCACCGCCACCGCCAGTGCCAGTGGACCTGGCGGCGCCTGCACCGGCGGGTCTGGCGGTCACGGAGCTACCGCCGCCACCGCCGCCGCCTTCTTCCGCCGCCGCGGCGGCGCCTCCGGACAGCTGCGCCAGGAGGGCGTCGATGCTGTAGGTGAGCATGACCTGGATGGGGGGGAAGTGGGGGGGGAAACGTGGAGGGGAGGGTTGTGGAGAAGGGAAAAGCGGTAAAGGGAAAAGCGGTATGGAACGTATCTCACGAGGACCAATGTAGGCCTTACTTAAGGCCAATGGAAAGGCCTTACCTCTCCATTCCTCTCTACACACATAAACACCCCTTCCTTCATTCCCGGCCTCCCTACCCTGGTTCTTCATCCCCCCCTTTCCTTGGCAGCAGCTTCACTCGTTCGTGGTTCGTCTTTCCCCCCTTTCCCCCTCCCCTTCCCCACGTTTTCTCCCACCCCTTCTCTCACCCCCTTCATCCCCTATCCCCCCCATACACACACATACACACACTGCTCCGTGCCACCGACCTCCATGTGGTGCGCCATGAGGGCGAACTGGGCGATGAAGTTGACCACGTGGTGGGACTTGGCACCTGCGGGCCGTTGTGGTTTTATTGCGGTGGGTTTAAATTGGTTTTGGAGGTTTTAGGGTTTTGATAAGGTGTGGCGCGTGTGGACTGCTGTGTGTGTATGTGTGTGTGGTGTCCCATTTATTCCTCCAGGCCCCCCGAACCCTCTCCCGCCTCCTGCCGCCCAACACCAACCCCAATAAACCCCTCCCTTACCCTCCCTTACCCTCGCATCCGCATCCGAATTGACATCTTTACCCCCTTCCCCCACAATACATACATACACGCAGACACAAACGCAAGCACACACAGACCCTCACTTACTCCCAGACGCCGCCAGCTTCACTCCATAGCTCTCGACTGCCGCCTGCTGGTGCTCCACGAAACGGCCAAAGTGAGACCGCAGCCGGGCATGGCAGGCAGCCAGCACCAGCCGCAGCGGCAGCGCCACTGACCCACGGGTCGCGAGGGCATTGATGCACTGAGTCGCCATGGACATCATGGGCAGACACAGCACTTGGTGCGATTTGGCGGTCAGGTCTACCAGGGCCTTACAACCGGTACGGGGGAAGGCGGGGAGGGGTTGGGAGGACGGGGGGAATGGCAATGGGTGCGGGAGATGGTTTGGGGTAATCAGATGATGATGATGATGATGATGATGATGATGATGCGAGAAGCATAGCTAGTGACCCCCGGGATCAACTGCCCACATTGGAGAGCCTAATGGCAAATTCCCCCGTGGTCGCGGGTTTTCTGAGCCTTCCTTCACCCTGGGCTCACTTTATCCTGTCTGGGTGACTTGCGTTGTCTGGTCTGTATGTATGTATGTGCGCCTTGGCTGCCCTGGGTGCCTCAGTGGGCCCGTAGTGCTCTCACCAAGAAACCACCAACCGCCACAACCGCCTCACTAACAAACCCCCACCGTATGCCGTACAAGGCAGTACTTCCCCCTCCCCCTCCCCAATCTGTAGATCTCTCACCATGAACTCCGCATCCACACCCGCCAGCATTGCCTCCTCGACCTGTACGATACATCGCGAAGCATTCAATCAGGAGTTGCCTTCTTAGCGCGACTTTGACTCTTGTGGCTGCTCCCCTACGCACCCACCCGCTCACCTGCCCGTCCAAAAAGGGATTGTTAACTTCAAAATGCTATCGCCTTATCGCCGCATCGGCCTCCACAGCCACACACCTCTGTCCGCTTCATAACCCCATTCGACATACAAACAGACGCTCCAATGGCCGTTCGTCCACCCCCCTCCTCCTCCCCCCTTCGCTCTCCCATTCTACATCACATTCCTCTCATGCAAATGAACTTTCCCTGGGACCTCCCCCCGCCCTATAGCCTACCGTGCGGCCCTCGCGCGTCAGCGGACCTCCCGCCGGCAGTGGCGGCGGCGGCAGCGCCGTCACACCGCCAATGCCGCCGCCGCCGCCGCCACTGACGCCGGCAAGCCCCGCTGCATCCTCTTCGACTCGCCGACGGCCCTTCTTCTTACGCCCCCTCCCCGTCCCTTCCGCGCCTTGGCCACCGAC